GAGCCGCAGATCCTCAAGCTTCTGCCTGTTCGCAACCCGGCTGGGTCCCCGCGCGTCCTGCTCAGGTGAGCGGGGGATCCTTAGGCAGATCCAGGACCAGGGAATTAGTGGGGTCGAAGCCACAGGCTCGCGGGGAGGTTCTGAGGATCCATAACGCAATACAAAAGGTAACAGAGCGAGGGAGCCACTGGGTCGCTGTAGGTCACGCGTGTCCCAAAACCTGGTCGCACCTGGGCACGCTCTTCTAAGTGCATTTCCGGTCAACACGGAAATCCGCCCGGCTTCCTCTTTTGCCTGAGCGATCACAAATCGGGTCGTGGGCCTCCCTCTTTTAAACTCTTTCTAACAGCTACTCCCATTTCGCGGCACCCAGGTTAAAATTCAGGAGGCAGCCGGGCATGGTGGCGCACACGCCTGTAATCCCAGCGCTCTGGGAGGCTGAGGCCCGAGGATGACAAATTCAATCCTAGCCCGGGCAGGCGGGTTGGGGATACAGCTCAGTACGAAGGCCTTGGGTTCGGTGCGCAGTTATCGATAAAAAGGAGACGGAGACGCAGACACAGACTGTCTGTCTCACCACCAGCTTAGGACCCGGAGTCCACCCGTGTCCATGTTGCCAGGGCAGAGCAGAAATCGCTCCCTCCCTCCTCTGCCAATGTTTCCCAGCCGCTTTTCTTCTCCCTTCCTTTTACCCTGCCCAATAAATTATCCCAAAGGACTCGGAGGCAGGAGGGTGACAAAGTTGGCATGTGGCTGACCTGTCCCCACCTTGAGCTCTCCAAACAGATGAGAGCCTCTCAGACACACACCTCCGATTCCACCGAGGAGGGGCTTGCAACAGAGCAGCCTGAGAGATTCAAAGATGAAGCAGCAGGGCCTGGCCCAGCTGACAAATAGGAAGTGTACAGGTATTCAGAACACACCTGGCTTCAGGTATGCAGCACCTGGAGCCAGCTCCCTGCCCAGCTACCCGCCCTGAAAGCTGCCCAGGGCTGAACCGGGAACCTCCTGTCCCTGCCTGGCCTGTAGCCTTCTGACTCAGGAAGCAGGAATCCTGGTTGCTATTCTCCTGCCAGCCTCACCCCAAACTCACAAGACTTTGGCAGGTGGGGAGAGAAAGGAGCAGACTGTCTGCCCCTCCTGTCCAGACACATGAGACACACCAGCCCTGGGGTCGATGGGACGATCAAGGGATTACCAATGTGTCTGAGTTCAAATTTGACCGTAATAATAATGAAATGCACAGGGTTCAAAACATGAGAAGAAACTGCAATCACACAGTTGCACATTTTCCTAAAATGTGACCTTCTTAAAAGAATGATCTTGGGCTGGGGAATTAGCTCAGTAGTTCTGCCTCCTGCCTTACAAGCACAAGGACCCGAGTTTGATCCCTGGTACCAAAAAAAAAAAAAGAAGAAGAATGATCTTTTGCAGGGCCAGGGATTTAGTTCAGTGGTGCCACACCTGCTTCACAAGTGCAAGGTCCTGAGGTCCTGAGTTTGACTCCCTGTGCCACAGGGGGGAAAAGGGGGACTAACAGATGGAGAGTGAGAGGGGAGTTGGGAGAGGCAGGGTCTCATTATAGTTGAGCCTGACCTGGAACTCACTGTGTAGTCCAGGCTGGTCTCGAACTCACAGGGATCCTCCTGCCTCAGCCTCCCGAGTGCTGGGCCACCACGCCCGGCAGGAAGGGGATTTTAAACATTAAGATATGTTATGTCATGTACCCCTGTGATGATTGAATGTAATCATTATGTAGTGATAAGCATAAATATTTAAAAAGTGTAGCTCAGTGCTAGAGCACCAGCATGGAGCTGTAAGTAAGGCCCTGAGTTCAATTCCCCAGCACCACTTTTTTTTTAAAAAATTGAAAAAGAAAAAAAATGGCAGTAGATGCTAGTGTGATGGGTTCAATCCTCATGGCCTGAGAATCCCTGCCTGGATTGCTCAGAAGCTGTGCATGTTTGTAAATTGAATTCCCCTTCCTGTCTTCCCCTCCCTTAACCAAAGAACCAACCAGTTAGCTTCCCCCATAACCCTGATCATCTTTACTCATCAACACCTTGCTTGCCGGCCCTTGGAGAAGTTTGACTCCAACACATGAACCTTTTCCACATCTGCCCTTGGTTTCATTTCTCCACCTAGCGCTCTGAGACGTAGTACCAGGAATCAAACTCGGGACCTTGCACTCGTGAAGCAGGCCGTGGAACCACTGAGCTAAATCCCTGGCCCATATAACATATATACTTTTTTTTTGGTGTTTTGAGACAAGGTCTCACTATGTAGTTGAGACTGACCTGGAACTCACTGTGTAGCCCAGGCTGGTCTCGAACTCACAGTGATCCTTCTGCCTCAGCCTCCCGAGTGCTGGGATGACAGGTGTGCGCCACCATGCCCGGCAACATATATACTATTTATAATTTATTTTTGCATTATATATAAATATATGTGTAAATAAATATTGTTTATGTATAAGAATACACGAAACTTAAGTGACTCAAGCCAGCTGTTAGAAATAAAATATATATTCTTTTTATCTGTATGTATCTATTCTGGAATACATTTAGTTTATGTGTACACACAAGTATACAATCTGGAGGGTGGGCAGTCTGAACATAGCTCAGTGGTCACACACATGCTTAGCATCCCTGAGGCCCTGCACACACACTCGTGAACATATTCATAAAACTTGGCTACGAGCAACCTGGTTAACTTAGAATAATATATGCCCTGTGTGTTTACATGACATTTATTTAGCCACCTCATGACACAGTTGTGTTTTTAAGGTGTGGCCAGAACTTGGGCTGCCACGTGCACAATGGAGAGGAGGGTGGAAGGGGCTGACCCAGGGAACAGGGCTAATTGCTCCCATTTTCCAGATGTGGAAGACTGAGTCCTGTTAAAAGTGCACAGAGCCCAATCCAGAAACGCTCTGCCCCCAAGGGCTCCATGCAGACGCCACAGGATGGAGAAGACCTCGCCCACCAACCCTGGTACCATGGTACCCTGTCCCGGCAGGTAGGACCGTACCCACCCCACTGGAGGGGGCCTCCTCCCCACCCCCAGGCCAGGAGACTCAAGGGTCCTGCCCGAGGGAGTCAGGGACAAGGTCTATGGGACAGGAGGCTGGGGGACTGAAGACTGTTGAAGCTTGCTTGGCTCCTATCAATTTCAGTGATTGCTTTCTTGGGCTGGTGCTGGAGACTGACGAGGCCCTAATGCCCCAAAGTATCTTCTGGTCCTTCCTGTTTCTTCCTCCAGGCCCTGTCTCTCTCCTGGCACCTCTGTCTCAACCCAAGCCTCCCCAATCCAACTCCAAATCAAGGCTCACATCCTCAGGATCCTGGGTTACTGACATCCACTTTAATCTCGGGGGGCAGTATAGCTTGGTGGTTTAAATCCTGTGCCCTCCAGCATGATATGCTGGGTTCAAATTCCAGTCCCGTGACTTATATTCTATGTAATCTTGGACAAGGCATTTGACTTCCCTGAGTCTCTGTGTCTCCATCTTTGGAAAGGGGCCAATAGTACCTCCTACTAGTCTTAAGGGTCTATTGAGTTCTTCATGTCTATTTCTTTGGCTCTCCAGATAAGGGTGGTACATTTGTCACTGAATTTATTAATCTGTTCCCAGCCTTCATCTCCCACTCTGCTTTGGCTCCATCTAAGGTCTCAGCCCTCCTACCCACCACAGTTGGCATAAGATTGCTTGCAAACTTTTATAAAGGGAGGATTAGAGGGCCGCACTCTGGAAAGAGGCAGCCAATGACTTGTCTTGAATTCACACTTGCAAAGCAAGCCCCGGTCATTCGGTCAGGGTGGACATTGCATTGGGCAGCATTAGCTAGTGACTATGACAAACAGTACCAAGACACCAACAGCTAAACACAATCATCATTCATGAGCTCATTCATATCACAGCCCAGGGTGGTTGAGGAATGGGGACAGGAACCTTCATAACTCAGTCAGGAGCCAGGTCCATCTTGACTTCACCATCCTGCAGGGCTTTGGAGATGTCCAGCTGACAGAAGACAGAACCCGTACGATTGTGCAGGAGAGTTTCCTCAGCCCTCATCCTATTGGCCAGATCTGGTCACATGATAGTGCTAACTGCAAGGAAGTCTGGGAAGTGTGGTCCACATGGGTGACCACAAGAAAATGGGAAATGGTTTGTTGCAAAACCTCCCAGACTCTACCTGCCACATGAGTTTCGCTGGGGTGGCTTTTACTGGGTGGGAAGAAGTCACCATTAACAGCTAGGTTCATCCCCACACCCCTGCCAACTGTCCTCTATTCTCAGAAGGCTGAAGCTCTTCTTCTCCAAGATGGTGACTTCCTGGTTCGCACCTCTGGGTCCCGTGGAGACCACCCCGTGATCTCATGCCGCTGGCGGGGGTCTGCTCTGCATTTTGAGGTGTTCCGCGTGGCCCTGCGTCCCCGACCAGGCCGACCTGCAGCCCTCTTTCAACTGGAGGATGAGAGGTTCAGGAGCATGCCAGCACTGGTGCGCAGCTACGTGACGGGCCGGCGCCCACTGTCCCAAGCCACAGGGGCTGTGGCCTCCAGGCCCGTGGTCCGGCAGGGGCCTCTCCGGCGCAGCTTTAGCGAAGACACCCTTCAGGGCAGCCCAGCTCAGACCGAGTCTTTCAGGTACCCACAGACTGTCTACCTTTTTGAGAGCACCCGACACCCCCTGCGTTTCTCCGCTTGTATGAGGAGCAGTCCTAGAGATTGTGTGTGGGGGGTGCCCTTGTTATGCTGAGTCCACAGTTCTCTCCCACCTTGGTCCCCTAGGGCTAGGAGGTGGAGCAACAGCCAACCCGCCGGCTTGGATCATACAGGTCAGGCCACAGAAGCCCACTCAGGACCAGGTGAGCATCTATCGGGGCCTCTGGAGGCTCAGAGATTGGCTCTGCCCCTTCGCAGTTATGTGATCTTGGGCAAGTGGTTTAACCTGTTGGGAGACTCAACTTCTTGCTCAGGAAAATAGAGACAATAATGTTCTCCAGGCAAGCACTTAAAAATGTGTGTTTATAGTCGGTCCAGTACTCTGGGAGGCTGAGGCCGGAGGATCACAAGTTCACACCCAGCTCAGACAACTTAGTAACTTAGTAAGATGCTGTTTTGAAAAAAATAAACACAAAGGGGCTAGGATATATCAGTGGGTAAGAAAGACCAAGATCCCAACCAAGCATAGCCAACATTCTATCAACAGACTGATCCATCAAAATAAGAGAAGCGTGTGATGCTTTGGGATCAAATCTAAAAGTAGAAGAGAGTAGGGGAAAGTGACAGGTGGGGGTGGATCTGGATTTGGGATTGTAAATAGTGGTCCAGAAAGTCCCCATTGAGAAAGGCTTGAAGACGGTGATGAAGGAAAGAATAATGCAGATGACTGAAGTTGACAATGGACCAGGAAGCAGGAACAGACAGTGCAAAGGTCCTGAGGTCAGAACAAGTGTTTGGATTGTTCACTCAAACACAGATGAATGTAACTGAAACAGTGAAAATAGGGAGGTTTAAGAGAGGCTTTGCTGCTTGATTGCTAGGGCTGTATTGGCTAGTGTGAGAGGACTTCGACCGTTACTTGAGTGAGCTGGGAATTTGGGGAGGCTTAAAATCCCTAAAACAAAGCCTATTTAAATGTTTAGTAAATGGTCTCTCAAAAATCTTGTTACCTTTTTGCGATTTCCTTCTTTTGTGTGTGTGTGTGGTACTGGAGATAGAACCCAGGGATAGTGTACCACTGAGCTATAGCCCCAACCCTATTTATTTATTTTTGATACAGGGTCTCACTACGTTGCCCACAAGGGACTCAGATTTGCAATCCTCCTGCCTCAACTTCCCTAAGTGCTGGAATTACAGGCGTGTTTCACCACTCCCAAAATACTAATGACCCTGCATGTATACATGCTACTTGCTCAAAAACGACATCGTTTGAAAGGTTAATGAAGGCTGGGGATTTAGCTCAATAGTTCTGCCACCTGCCTTGCAAGGTCACAAGTTTGATCCCCAGTACCCAAAACGGCAACAACAACAAAAAAGAAGGGTCAAACGAGTTCAGATTCTTTGATATCTTTGTAGTTTTGTGAATTCTCAGATTTTTGATCAGTTCACACATCACACAGAGGCAAAAGCATTTACAGTACAGTATTCTGAATCCACCAAAACTGGCTCCTTAGGTTTGCTTTGGTTATTCTGGGGTCCTTTTGCTTCCATATAAATTTGAGGATTTTTTTTTTCCTCGTTTGGTGAGGAACACTGTTGGTATTTTCCTTAGGATCGCACTAAGTGTATATATCCATTTTGGAAGCATGACCATTTTGATAATATTGGTTCTGGTTCTATCTGTCCAGGAACAGGAAGTATCTTTCCATTTTCTAATGGCTTCTATCTTTTTGTTGTTGCTGTTGTTGTTTTCTGAGACAGGGTCTCACTATGTAGTTGAGACTGTTCTGGAACTCACTGTGTAGCCCAGGCTGGTCTCAAACTCACAGCAATCCTCCTGCCTCAGCCTCCAGAGTGCCAGGGTTACAGATGAGCACCACCACACCCCGCCACTTCTATCTTTTTAAAAGAATAGTATAGCTTTTGTTCTAGAGGTCTTTCATTTCCTTGGTTAGATTAATTCCTAGGTTTGTTGGTTTATTTATTTATTGGTACCAGGGCTCAAACTCAGGACCTTATGATTGTGAGGCAGGCAGCAGCACCAGTGAGCTAAATCCCTGACCCTTTAATATTTTTTTGAACTACTGTAAATGGGATTGTTTTCCTGACTTTCTCAGTGGGATCATCGTTGGTCTACTCACCTTGAGAACACAATGTTAAAAGAAATAAATTAGATTTTGGAGGGTAGATATTGCATGGTTTCTTTTATATGAGAATCCCACCGTATAAATAATTAAAGAACAAAATAAAAGGCAGATGATAGGAAACAAAGACGTAGACACCGTGGAGATGGGAAGAGAATTCTGGGGAAAGGGGAAGGGGGAAGAGGAAGTGAAAAGGACCAAAATTCCTTATGTTACCGGGTGTGGTGGTGCACGCCTGTAATCCTGGCACTCGGGAGGCTGAGGCAGGAGGATCGCTGTGAGTTTGAGACCAGCCTGGGCTACACAGTAAGTTCCAGGTCAGCCTCAACTACACAGTGAGACCCTGTCTCAAAAACCAAAAAAAAAAAGTGTTATGTGTATGTGCCACTTCCACACGATACGTATAGTTATGTACTACACATATTAATTTTTAAAACTCACAAATGACAGAAGTGTTGAAATCGGTTTCAAACTGGTGTGCTGGTGTGTATTATCACTCGCACAGAAGAAGCTGCTGAAGTTCAAAGCTGTGCGGGGATTGGCCAGGAGCCCCATTACTGGCTGATGATGAGTGGACGAGGCGAGGGGCAGCTGGTCGACTCCCGCCCACCCTCCCCCGACCCAGCTGTCTTCTCTGTGGGCCCCAGGAGCCCGCACCGCACCCGCATCTGCCCTGCTCCGGATGGGCAGTGACCCCACGTTGCTGAAGGTCCCAGCTCCCTTGAGGTCCGTCGCTGACAGCCTCAGAGCTTCCGATGGGCAGCTTCACGCCAAGGCGCCAAGCAAGCCTCCCCGGACACCCTCACTGACGCTTCCGGATGCCCCTGGGCTGCCCCCAACGTACTGTGAGCTGGTGCCCCGAGTGCCCAGAGCCGGGGGAACACCCCCTGGCCACAGCTGTTCAGAGCCGGAGGCCCCATGGTGGGAGGCTGAAGAGGAGGAAGAGGAGGACGGGTGTTTTGCAAGACCACAGAGCGAGGTGTCTTTTTGCCCTCCTGACAACCCCTTCTGCCTGCTGGGTGCCCACAATCGGCCCCTGGACCCCACAGTGCTGCGTGTTCTCCGGGGCTTGCTCCTGGAGCACCATGCAGAGGGCACCGCCCTCCACCTGCTGTTGGTGGATTGCCAGGTGGGTCGCCCGCCCCGTCCCTCCTCTGCAGGGCTGGGGTTGCGGCCTGCAAACGGACTCTGAGCCCCTGGCCTCCTTGTTGCTCCCCCCGCAGGCTGCAGGCCTCCTGGGAGTTACCAAGGCTCAGCAAGTGGCCATGGGGGTCCGCTCTGGCCTGGAGCTACTCACCCTTCCCCATGGGCATCGTTTGAGGTTGGAACTGCTGCAGAGGTGAGCCGGCAGCCTGGAACCTGGAGTAGGTGGGGGGTCTGGAGTCCCCGAACACCTCCCCGTTCCTGGCAGCCGCAGGAGGGGAAGAAGGGGCCGGGCGGTGCCACTACCAGTGCCCGTCACCCTCGCATTACCCACCTCCCCACTGCCCCCAGACCCTTGCCCTCCACCTCTGCAGGTTGGAGACCCTGGCGCTGGCGGGAGCGCTGGCTGTCTTGGGGTGCTCAGGGCCGCTGGAGGAGCGCGAGAAAGGAGGCAGGCTCCCTTCTGTTCCGCAGGTGTCACGGTTGGAGTGCACGTGGCGCCAGCTCCGACGGAGCCACACAGAGGCTGCGCTGGCCTTCGAGCAGGAGCTAAAACCGCTGATGCGGGCTCTGGATGAGGGTTCAGGTGAGGGGCGATCTGGGGCTTGGCGTTGCCTGGACCCCTGGAACTGCAGCTGCGATCTCAGCCCAGGCCTAGGCCGGCCCCAAGCCCCACCCCCCCATCCTAACCTTCGTATCCCCCTCCCCCACGCCGGC